GCCCCGCCGAGGACCAGTGCTGGGGTGAGGGGGTGGGAAGGGAGAGAAAAGACAGAACAAGGAGCGATCATCATCCAGAGGGTCACTGCGGGTGAAATCCCACCTGTCTGCGTGGCAGGATGCAGCCCGCCACCTCCTGCATCATCCAAATGGCCTCTCAGCCTCCTAGGCCTTAGACAGGGTTTCCCACCCTTTGCCAATTTTTTTTAATAATTTTTTTTAATACACTTGTATTCATTTCAGAGAGGAAGGGAGAGGGAGAGAGAGAGAAACATCAATGATGAGAGAGAATCATGGATGGGCTGCCTCCTGCACGCCCCACACTGGGGATTGAGCCCACAACCCGGGCATGTGCCCTGACCCGGACTTGAACCATGACCTCCTGGTTCATGGGCTGATGCTTAACCACTGAGCCACACCAGCCGGGCAGTTCATTATTCTTGTTGCAGAAGCTTGGCTTGGTTTTTCTCTGCCCCTAAGAACTGTGAACTAGACACCAAGTTTATGGTCAGGTTCTTGGACCCTGAGCTGAGCTCGGCTGTAGCAGGGCAGCTGCTGACCTGGAGAGGTACCCTGTTAGCAAAGACGAAGCCAAGAATGTAACCTTAAGTCCAGGTGTCAGCTGGACACAGGCAGAATTTTTTCTATCAACTCTTCCAACTGGGTCAAGCAGAAGGCATCAGATTTCTTTACAGAGTCCTTCATTCCATTCTCTGCTCCTCCCTAATTAACAGAAGCGCACACTCACCGTATGACTCATGTTTCTGCGCCACAGTAGCCGGCATTGTTCCGGGTGCATGGTATGGCTCAGTGAATGTTTGCAGAATCCAATGGAATCAGTGCCCTCCTCTGTAACGATTCCTGCTGCAGGATGTTGTTTATTTTTTTAAAAAAATACTCTTTGTCAAGGAATTCATGGGATTAAGACATAGAAGATACAACCAATTCGCTTGTCGACCAAACAGCCGAACAGCGGAATGACCATCCGGGCGACCATCCGGGACCACGCTATGACACCCACTGGCACCAGGCCGGCCAAGGCAGGTGATGCAGTTGGTCGGGGGCCCAGCCATCGCCCCATGATCGCCCCACAGAGGGAGGCCCAGGCCACTGGCTGACAGGGCAATCAATCGGGGGCTCCATGATCGCCCCACAGAGGGAGGCCAGGACACCAACCAGCAGGCTGCAGGGGATGGGCAAGGCCTCCCCTGCGAGGGAAGCCCGGGTCCGGATGCCGGAGGGAAGCCGGTGCTGGCAGCGGGGGGAGTGAAGGCCTACTCTTGCATGAATTTCGTGCACCGGGCCTCATGTATAATATCAGAGGTCAAAAATGTAGCTGCCAATTTTTTAAAAATATGCAAGAGAAGTGAACTTTTTAAATTGTATATCCTT